CAGTCCTCTTCCACTGTCTCTTCTCCCAGGTCTCGAATTCTGCCAGTCATTTCAGCCAATTCCATGTAGTCTATCAGTTGCGTATGCCATTCTTCCAGAGTGGGCAAATCCTGTGTCTTCCAGTGCTTTGCGATGAGTATTCTTGCTGCTGTTGTTGCGTACATAAAGTTCTATCCTTCTTTAACACCCTTGGCCAACAATGCCCAGAAGGAAGGCCTCTGGTTTCTTAAGGAAGGTATACTTAAATACCTTTTTTAATTCATTATAAATCATTTCCCAGAAAGCCTTAACCCTTGGGCACGTCCACCAAAGGTGAAAAAATGTTCCTTCAGCTTCCTTACATTTCCAGCATTGTTATCAGGCAAGTGATATATTTTTGCCAGCTTGACTGGGATCATGTACCACCTGTAAAGATCCTTTAGATCTATCCAGTTACTGCCCGGTTTTGAATCTTCCATGCCTGGGTAATTGAGTGGTTGCTGAACAGCTTGGTAGGTTTCTGGATGAAACATTGGCTTTAGATCCATTTCAGTCTGGATTCCGTCCTGGTTTTGGGACCAAGATGGCTCTGATCGCCCTAACAGATCTCCATAGACAGCCGGATTGAGGGGGGGTCAGGACTGCTGATTCTCTTAGATCTGTCAGCAGCCTTCAACATGGTTGATCATGAACTTTTGGGCGACGTGGGGGATTCAGGGCAGTCAGACAATGGCTGTGCTCCTTTATCTCAGGTCGGGGACAGAGGGTGGCGCTAGGGAGGGAGTTGTCGCCGCGGCACTCCTTGGTGTGTGGAGTCCTGCAGGGCGCAATCCTTTCCCTGATGCTTTTTAATATCTTTATGTGCCCCTGTGCCCAAATTGTTTGGAACTTTGGGCTGGGTTGTCATCAGTATGCTGGCACTCAGCTTTCTGTTGATGGACAGCCACCCTGACTGGGCCCCAGAAACACTGACCAGATGCTTGGAAGCTATGGCTGCGTGGGAGCCGGTTGAAGTTAAATCCTGTGAACACAGAGGTCCTCTGGCTGGGTCAGGACTACATGGGGTTGGGGGGGGGCAACTCCCATCTCTTGTGAGGGCTCAATTAGTGCCAGCGCCTTTTGCCAAGAGCATGGGTGTAACCTTCTACGCCTCCCTTTCCATGGAGGCACAGGTTGCAGCCACAGCAAGTGGCATTTTTCCTTCCTTTCTCACCCCAATCTGGCCAGTGATCCACGTGGTCACCTCCAGGCTTCATCATTGTAACTCGCTCTACGCAGGGCTGCCCTTGAAGCTGGTCCTTGCAGAGGGTTCACATTCATCCAGTGCTTTACCAGCTGCACTGGCTCCCAGTGGAGTACAGGGTCAGGTTTAAGGTGGATTTGAACTTTAATGGCCCATGCATACCAGGATCCTCGTACCTACGGGACCACGTCTCCTGGTATGCTCCACAGAGGACCTCAAGGTCCAGAAATGACGTTTTGTAGGTCCCAGGTTTCAAGGTGGCTAGATTGGTCTCAACTAGGGCCAGGGTTTAGACTCAGTCTGACCCTTATGTTTCCCTCCCTTATGGTCTTGGATTTATCAGCTATTTTAAAATGAGGTTGCATTTTAACCTGTATTTTAAATTGGTGCCCCCCCCTATTATGTTTTTACTGTGATTTTATTGGTGTTAGCCGCCCTGAGCCCAGCTTTGGCTGCATATAAATAAAAATTATATCAAACAAAAGCCAGATTGTTCAATAATCAATCAACAAGCATATTCTTTGATGGATGCCAGCTGAGACGAATGAAACTCTGGTCTTTGACCACATGAAAAGTCACTTTTAACAAACCAAAATCAGGTGAGTGGGAAAAGAGACATGAGAAATATTAACTCTAAACAGGGCTTTCCTTCATCTGTGATGAAGAGGTCTCAGAAGAGGTCTAATACAAGAGGGGAAAAGGTGACAGAATTAACTTTGAGAAAAGCACAAGGGTAATCTAGTCCAGCCCCATACAACATAGCAAACCTCTCTATGTATGGTTTACCATCAAGAAATAGAATCTCACTGCTATTCAGCAACTTTGCCCATGTTTATACACCTGTTGAAAAGAAGCTGATGCAGTTCTGAGGTTGGATTAAATCCTTTATTGATTATATGTATATAACACCCTTCATTCATATAACACCCCCCCCAACAAAAGAAACATAAGCCACCCAACGTCCAAGCAGGATTGAATGTGTATCTTTAACCATTGTCAAACAGGTGAGATCTTCAGACCACCAAATGGCAGGTGTTTATCCTTCCAGCCTTGGCATATAAGGGGGCCATTATTACAACTCACCCACCCCCTATAACTTGGCCTTCTCATGAAAACCCACGGTAGATGGCTCAGCTTTTTAAAAAAGCAATAGAAGGATAAGCACAATCACCACAGACATCCACCAAGTCAAGATTAGCATTGAACAATTACTTCCCCAATGCCAGTTGTGGCTATGCTACTCCTATCCAAAATGGCAGCTTTACTTATAACTTGCTGCTGCCTCAGTTTCTCCCATTTATTTGAATAAACTGTTAGGTGTGAGGATGCACATGCTCAGCATTTTCATTTTGACTCAAACATCTGAAGAATCTACATCTATTGTAACCAAAGCTTATATTGAATATCCAGATGTCACAGAATGTACATTCGGGTCCTTCCACTATTTTAAGTTGAATGTCTTCTGGGTAAGGCTGCAACTTCACATCTAGGATGAAGAAGAAAGGGTGTCAAGCCAGTGCATTCCACATTAAACAGCTGCACATACCAGCAAATGAACAGATCAGACCTTGATATTTTCCATCATGTAGTCAGAGAGAGAGTTCAAGGTTATGTTTATCATCATATATCCATTCACACATCACCATATAGCATGTGATACACAAGATAGATACCTACCTTTCACATACAACTGTTAGTTCAAGATGTTCACCACCTACATTTGAAAGAGATATATATAAAAGGATAAGGAATAGGTCTTAAACACAGAATGGACAAAACCACTAAATGATTTGGAATATTGCACAAGTTTCTGAATGAACCTGTTCTACGGATGGACTTTTCTATTATTTCATTGCAGTAATCATTAACTCCACAGAAGCAGGCTGTGTTGTTACATTTAAAGTTTTACAATAGAATCTGCACATGTAATGTAAGTGAAGGATTAAAAAGGGGACCTGTATACTTGTGGTCTGAAGCGAGATACATCAGATAGGAGCGAAAGACAGTTGCAGTTCTTCACCACAGTTCAATCTGCTGAACTATGTTATCATCACTGTATCTGCTCATTCTTGCCATTCTTCTCCAGAACCTTACATACTTTTACTACCTCAGGGGAACATTTAGGTCCAATTTTTGAATATATATTTCTAACGCAACCAATGCATGCTTACCAGCTTAAAATGTTCTGTTCCTTTCCCCCCAATCCAGAGCGTGTAGCACTCGCATCACACAGGCAGACTTCTCCAGAACATTCCTGTTTAATCTGTAATGAAAGTTATATCTTATGTGCACCCAAGCAGCAAGGCACTAAAAGGGAGCACCATTTCTGTACTGTTTCAGTGCAAATTCTCTTCACTTCTTTTCAGAGAGATTCCCATTGTTTTATACAATTTCATCATCAACAGTACAAACATACCGTGTGTGTGTTGAGCAAAAATCTCAGCAGATGCAGTATTTGATTAACACTTAGTTGGGCCCTGGTCACCAGCTTGGAGTTCCCTGCCACCTCCATCATTTACACTTAATTTATACCGTTGGCACTGGGTGGCCATGGGAAGGGTTCTTAACAGTGATAAATGTCATTTTTACAGCTTACCAGTGTATTGTGAAGCTCAGGCCTCTCCTCTCCATCAGTTTCCACTGTGTCTAAAAAAGGAAGATATTTGCCATAGTTTAAACATTAGTTTATATATCAGACCTAAGACAAAGTTCTCATGAGCCAATCCAAGTTTTTGAGTGTACTCTTACGCAAAGGAGATGCCTATTAAGAAGTGCACATTCCCACTGCTGTAGAAACTTGTTTGATTCAGAAGTTCAGTCTTAGGTAGATAGTCAGTGGCCCTTATTCTGATTGCCCCTGCTAAGAACCTAGCAAGCTTTGCTGTTATCTGCTCTGTTTGGTCTGATAGGAGAAAGGACACTGTGGCAGTGGTTGTGCGCCCTGGGATGGTCAGTACGAGTGGGGTGATGATCTCATTCCTTAAAGACAGTCTTAGGTAAGTCATGGTACTTGACACGCAAAGAGCCAACGGCAATGTCTCTGCTCAGCTACATTGTCCAACCCCCAATAAAAGCCTCAGCGCACAATTGTCAGAAATATTTTCTGTCCACTACTCTTAAAACATCATTGGCTTTTTTCCAGGCAGAGCCTGACTTAATTTGTGGTGTGAATTTCAAAAGGAAGGAAAAACACAAAATATGAAAGCTGCTTTGTATGAACTCAGCCCATTGAGCCATCTAACCTAGTACTACCTACTTCAATTATCAGCAGCTTTCCAGTCTCCTATAAGCTGGACACCAGGAACTGAACCTGGGACCTTCTGCATGGAGTTAGGAGCTCTCCTCTGCACTACAGCCCCTCCCCAAAGCAGAACACAAGCCTATGGTGTCAGATTTCAAAACTAGTCATTTACTAACCTCTTTCAGCAGGTAACTCAAAACTGGAGAATCCTCAACCATTTGGACTTTAAAGAGAAAGAAACATTTGTTAATTAAGTTGCAACAGAGGATCTTATTACAGGGAACCAGCTTGGCTCGGCTCTGGAAAACGTTAAACTCATTTTGGCAACTTTTGCTTTAAGATTTGACTGGTAACACCTTCCCACAGGGAACTGCCCAAAGTTAAGCAGAACTGTGATGGCCAGAACCAAATGTTGGCATGGGTTGATCACAAACACAAAGGAACCTGGAACTTTATATTCGCGTGTTCTATTAATGTGAAACTAGAAAGTAATTTGTATTTCTGTAAGTTTCCTAACTAATGACCACAGATCAATGTAACCTCAGTATATAGAACGGTATGCTGTTAATTTCATGAGCAGTCATTTGGCGGAATCTATTATCATCACTGGTTACATGTGTGGTCTAGTACTTGAGCAAGCTATGAAAAATGCCTAAAGTTATATAAACAATTAAAAATCGCCCAAATTAAAACCCTTATTACCATCATATCTGGAAGATCTAACAGGGAATTGTTGACAAGCAGTCCATACTAATCCCCTCATTATTGCTTGATCCTTCCAAAACATTTGCCAATGTTACTGCAATGCTGAACAAATTTTATCAGGTAGATGTCTTATAGTAACTTACCACTATCAGGAATGTAACTCTAAGGAGATCTTCAAAGTCGCCTCATGACCTAGAAAAGAAAGATTTCTTTAAGACAGCCCAGAGAAAGCTAGCTGCTAAACAGGAAAATGCAAGCAGATGCCCAAGTCAGGTAGAGCTAATTACAAATCTCCATTATTTAATTCAGCTTCATTGGCTTCTCATCACACAGGCTGCTTGCATTATATACTACACATTATAAAAATTCACCTTCACTGATATAACTAGAAGACCTTGTTCAGTGTTATACCTAAGATGCATTGGCACCTCCTAGGCAGGCTGCATGAGCAGTATTTATAATTGTGCTAGGAATAAATGGGACCCATATTTCAAAAGTATAGTCCAATAGCATTGGACTATTCTTGAAGAACTTCACAGCCTCTCTAAGCAAGTTTTATCACACTGCTCAACAAATATTGCAGTGAGGTTGGACTGACTGACAAATCACTTCCCAGTAACTAACCCACCTTTTTTGCTTCAGAACTCGTCTCATACAGCTGCATTACGGAGGCCTATAAAAGTGACAATAAGCAATTTTAGTCTTGAACCCAGCTTCACTCCTTTTTAAAACTACAACGAACGACTGTATCAGTGTTGATTCAATTATCCTCATTTGGATCAGCGACCTGATTCAGCATCATATACAGCAGATTTAATGTCTACATATAACCTAATAACTACAGCATTGGCAACTACATAGAATGGCTGCTTTGAAAACCTCTGGAGAACAAAGGCAGGACAGGACACAAACTACCCAACAAATCCCAACGCTATTTAGAAAAGCAAAGAATGTACTGGAAAATTCTCATATGCCTGGGGATAAATACAATTTGGATCAATACAACTGCAGTGGACCAAACAATAAGGGCTACTGAAATCTCCAGTCTCTTATTATTGCTGCAATTCATGCAGACCTGAGATTTAAGATGTGATTTAATACATGATGTAAAGTGTGTTATGAGTATTTTAAGAAGTTCAAAGACTGATATAATCTGACCCATTACAGCATAATGCAACCAAGTGTGCTTGGTAATAATATAACGGAGTGGGGAGAAACAGAAAACTTTTGGGCAGCCTAAGCATGCTGTGGGTCACTGCCGTTGTTCATGAGAGGTGCCCTGTCAATGCTCAAAATTCCCTTTCTGCCATAACTACACATTCAATTTTTCCATGAAACATACCTGTTTGGCCATGTTAAGGAGCTGGACTGAAATTTATAGTATAGCAGCAACTAGGCCATATTGCAGCATACAGAGCAAATGCAGACCCTGCAAGAAAATTTTAATTCTGTTACAACTTATGACCTTAATAGTCTAAATCCTCTTTTGCCAAACACTTTCACGCTGTTAATGGCATTAACTGTTTGACTGGTTGCCTCAGTAGACATCTATAGTTTTTACCTAGATAATATGCCTTGAGCTAAAAAACGTTCCGTGTTCCCCCCCCCCCAAGTAGTAAATAGGCATATTATAAAATGGCCATCTCCTTGGCAAGCAAAGAATGTTGATGTTCGGCATTAAGTACAGAAACTATACCAATGATACTACCATCAAAATAACTCGGATGCATCAGATAGGAGCGAAAGACATCTGCAATCATCACAGATTATCTGCTGAACTATGCTTTCATCACACACATCCTTCAATCGCAATAGAGAAACCAAAGCTGCATTTAATGCTGCTAGCTTGCTCAACTTAAGTATATGCCGTTTAAAACTACTAGTCATACCTTGGGTTACAGACACTTCAGGTTGCGGTTTTTCGAGTTACGGACGCGCCGAAATCCGGAAGTACTGCAATGGGTTACTTCCAGGTTTCGGAAGGTCGCGTATGCGCAGAAGCGCCGAATCGCAAACTGGGTGTGCACAGACACAGCGCTGTGGGTTGCAAACGTGCCTCCCGCACGGATCATGTTCACAACCCGAGCATCCACTGTATATAAAACTCCCAGGAAAAGCTGGTAGAGGCTTTTATACAGATTGCTTTATCTTCTGTAGGACACTTACCCAAATATCTTCCTTCTGTAAGTACCAAACCATTTCTAAAACCCTGCAAGGAAAACAGCAAAAGTTACAAAACCTTTAAAAACAATTTAGATGCCCCTTAAAAAATGTTCAGTGCCTCAGTTTCAATTATAGGGTGGTTGAGCATTCTCATCATTCTAATCAAGAGTAGCAAATAAGTGTCATCATTGTGGCACAAAGTTAGTTCTCATTTAAGCAAGCTATATATTGCATTCTGAAAAAGCCTAAAGTTTTCTTTAATCCAAAACAGAAAATATTACCTCCACAAATAGTATTGTCTTCACCTTCTGAGCCTATAAGGAAGCACACAAAAAAATATGTTAGAGCTCTCGTAAGTTAAAATGCTTCTAAAAACAAGTGGGCCCCTAACAACCTGGTATTTGACTGGGAATGCAAATCAGCAACCACCCTGCCATTGACCTGAAATAGTATTTCAGCCCAACATGCAACACATAAATCTAAGCAACACAGGTCCTTACAGCAGCAGTTTAACTGTAACCACTCTCAGCTTCAAACCAACCCACAAAAGGGGTTTTAGTATATGTGGCAAACATTGTAGGGCTCTTGTAAACCATGCAAAGCCTAAACACTGGCCTGCAATATTCATTGAAGTACATTAGAGCTGCCATAAATTAATCTGCAACACAGGAATATCTGACTTTGAACTAGCAGGGCTATTTTAAAATGCCTCGTTGAACATTGAATATACCCAGGTCCTAATCCTGCTCAGAGATGTTGGTATTCATCATGCTCTCAGATGTCCCTACCAACATCATTTATCATCATGTGCAGGTACAGTGAAAGAGAGCTCATCCTTATCAGGAAATGACTTTTTAAAAAAGATGCCATGTGCTACCTTTGTTTGGTGCAGCTCACTTTACTTTTGTGAGAAGACTCGCTGCAACGGTTTCACTACCACACTCCAAATAAGGACTCCCCAGTGAGATTTCTTTTACATCCACTGTCCAAGTCATTAGTCTAGAAAATATACTTAGGGCAGGAGGAGAATTACTAGCCTGCAAGGGGTGGCAGCTCCAGTCACTGAATTTTAATGCTAGGTATACAGGACATTTGCCATTTCTGCGAACCAGTGCGGCGCAGTGGTTGGAGGGGCAGACTAGCCCCCTGCCAGAAACTCGCCCGGTGATCTTGGGCCAGTCCCTCCCTCCGTCCAGCCTGCCTCACAAGGTTGTTGTGGGCAATCAATTGGCGGGGGGGGGCGCACTAGGCACGCGGCCTTGAGGTCCGGGGGGGGGGGCTAAGGAAGGATAGAAAATGCAAGAAATAAACAATTCCTCAGCTATTCCCGAGTTGCAATACCCGTTCACCATCCAAATCAAGCTATTTCTGAGATCTATCCGGCCCCCGTGGGAAACTGACCTGAGTGAGTGCTAAATAAGCCCAGGGCGAAGTTAAGGCAATGGCCAGAACTACGTTAAAAAGCCGCGATCTGCCCCACCTAAGTCGACCACCCCCCCCGGCGATCTGGGCTCCCGACGTGCAGATTGCATTCCCTCCGAAGGTTCTGCATTTCGTTTGCTACTCCTAATGAGGGCCGCGCTCGTCACTGCTGAGGCCTTTTGAAATTAGTATTTCGGCAGCCTCTTCCTCTGAGGGCCAGTCTGGAAGGAGGGCGCGCGCCGCCCAGGCGCCACTGGCTCGCCAGGCCCGAGCAGCCATCCGCCTCCATCCAGCGCCCCCCCGAGCCATCCGCGGGGGACGACACTGCCTAGGCAACCTGCGCGCTCCAGAAAGCCCTACTGGGGTGGAAGTGGCTGAGAAGAAAAGCGAAGAAACCCGAACACTCACCATGGTCCCCAAAGGACAGCAAAGCGCGAGCAATGGCGACCTAGAAAAGAGAGAGCAAACGTGGGGCCTCTCTCTTTATATACGCCCGCAGGCCCCGCCCTCCCTAGGATCACGTGAGGGCGCGAGGCTTTATTTGCATGGCCCCGCCCCCAGGGGCGAAGAAGAAAAGCACTCGGTCCCGCCTCCCCAAGTTCCACCCACCAATCGCGCGCGCTGGGGGTCACGAGGCGCCTCCCCCGGGCCCCCTCCCCATGGCGGGCTGGCGCCTCTGGGCGGGGCTGCCGGACGAGAAGCCTGGAGGAGAGCTAGTCAATCAGAAGAGGCGTCGGGGAAAGGGGGATGTTCTTCCGGGGCGTTGCCCGTCTGGGGGGTTTCGCTTCCGGAAGGGTGTTCGGGCTCGTCCCACCCCCCGCCCCCCACCCCTGGAGGTACGTAGACGGTATATTTCGGTCCCCTCGGGAAAGGGAAGGAGGTCTGGAGAGCGGCCGCCTCTCTCTTCTTCCCCCCGCCCCCCCACGCCTCTCAGGTGGACCCTCAGAAGCCCCCCCCCCCTGGGCTGGCCTAACCTGCTCCCGGAATGAGGGGGCTCCCTTCCGGACCCCAATCCGTAGCCCTCCCCTGTCTCTTAGCAACTCAGTTTGCTCCTCCCTGGAACTGCTTCTGGCTAAAAGGTCGTGCGACCCCCACCCTCTTTTCCTTATTATTCCACCGCCTCCCACCAGGGAAGGAATGTCAATATTCATTTATTTCGGTCTCTCTCGACTCATTGCTTTTAACTGCCCCTCGTCTTTACGTGGCTGCTTTGTAATGTTCTGGCGTGTTGAGGGCTTGGGCATGCTGAGAGGTCCTGCCCGGGGTGCTGCTGCGCTTCCTGCGTGGGTGAGGGCATTTGGGACAAGGAACGGGAGGGGTGACGCCTGAACGCAGAAGCAGAGGACCACCGTCATTAAAACTGTCATTGCTACTGTGTGGCGAATGTATCTCCTAGCTTTGTATCCTATTAAAGGTTGTTGTTTTTCCTCCTGGTACAACTATACTTTATTCCATTCTAATGATTTGGGGTATCTTGTTTCTATTGCTTCCCTTCTGTTTTCTTAGTTCATACAAGAAAGGGATAGTCTGTGCAGGAAGTATGCAAATAATGTTGACTGTTGTGCCCACTTAAATGTATTTTGGAGCAGTGGTGTCCAGTCATTTACCTAAGGTGGGACTCTCTAGATTAGTATTATCCAAACTTGTTTTTTATCCAAGGCATGCTCTGAAACTGTCAAGGAAATTCCTTGCCTGCAAGGAGTGTGATTGAAGTGATAGATTAAACTAGGTAAAGGTGAAGGACCCCTGACCATTAGGTCCAGTTGTGACCAACTTCTGGGGTTAAGGGCGCTCGTCTCGCTTTATTGGCCAAGGGAGCTGGCGTACAGCTTCCGGGTCATGGTGGCCAGCTTGACTAAGCCACTTCTGCGAACCAGAGCAGCACACGGTTTACCTTCCGATTTATCTACTGTCACTTTGACGTGCTTTCGAACTGCTAGGTTGACAGAAAGCTGGGAACCGAACAATGGGAGTTCACCCCGTCGCGGGGATTCGAACTGCCAACCTTCTGATCGGCAAGTCTAGGCTCTGTGGTTTAACCCACAGCGCCATCCCCACATCCCTATAGATTAAAGTAAAAATCACAGCAAATGAGTACTCCCCCCTGAGAATGAAATGCTAAGCATTTGATATCACCTTAAAATATGGATGTCTAAAGGCCCAGTTACAAAGACTATAGAAGATATGGGATCCAAAATAATATCTGCCCCTTATGTTTGGGCAGCCTCATTCAGAATTAACCACCTTTTGAGTATCCCACGTCAGCTAGATTCATTGGTCTTCAACTGGAGTGGACACCCCTGTACAATATGAATGGTTTCACAACCTCTCCCACCTCAAAAGGTGTGTTTTCTGTGTTTAATCATTGCATAGAAGAAGGAATTTAAATTGATGCAAGATTTTCTTTTCATAACCCCTGCTCTACAAGCCGAATCTGCCATATTCCTTTTCAGTTGACAGTATTAGCAGCGCTGGCTATCTTTGCTCTACTCTCCATATACAGAAAAGGAGAAAAACAAACCTATACAGTAGACTAAGTGGGTCTCCTGAAAACTTAAGATGAGTTCCCAGTCTGAAAAAAATAGTCCTACGTATTCACAATACTGTTTGTGCTAGGGTACTGTTATCACAAAGCAGGAAAAGATTGACGCACTCCTGTCAAAAGCAGCAGAATGATGAAAGGTTCTTTTTCAAAAGCCCCTAGCCTCCTTGTTACAGCCCACTGTCATAGCCCACAATGCTCTATCAGCACAAGCTGCTTCCAGATCTATAAACTTTGCATCACTTAGAGTGAGCCCCAAACCCACCCCACTCTCTGGGGATACTGCTTCAGGAAGCATCTGTTTTCATTCATAAGTATAGGCGCAGCAGTCTATCCAGTTAGGGTAGCTACAGAAAACCCCAGCTGTAACACAGGCGTGTGATTTCAGATCACTGATGCTCCTAAAGCAGGCATGCCAAACTTGGCCCTCCAGCTGTTTGGGGACTACAACTCCCATCATCCCTAGCTAACAGGACCAGTGTCAGGATGATGGAATTGTAGTCCCAAAACAGCTGAGGGCCAAGTTTGACCAGCTGGTCCTAAAGCTTGGTATGCTGATTCTCTGTGTAGTTAAGATGTGTATTCCTAATCATTCTGCCATAGTTGCTTTTGTGTGGTCTCCATGACTTCCCATCAGAAATCTGTTCTTAGCAACAGAAAGAATGGCAGAAGTCCAAACTGTGTTGGATCTCTAAAAATAGTGCATAAATTCATGATTTGCCCTTGAGCACTTGGTAAATGGGTCCCAAACATTTATTGCTACAACTTTCAAAAAGGCTTCAAAACACTTATTTCTTCTCTTATTGTTAACTGATGCTGTTCTTTTTGGTATTATTAAGATGAATACCCAAGGGAGAAAGTTAGACTATGTGTAATGTTATGTAACAATGAGGCCAACCTTGACTGCTTTTCTTCTGTTCTCAACCCCTCTAAATATGGTTGTGTTAAGCAACTAATTTGAGCAATACGTTCTTTAAAAGAACTTGTATTTCTATCCTCTTGTGAATCACACAATCATATTGAAAGTGTGTGCAAATTCATTGTCTGAGAAGTATTTATGGACACTCTTGTCTTCCTCGTGTAGTATGAGAAGCAGGCATAAAGAGAAATATTTTCTAATGCTTCCTGTGGTGCCATTTTGTTGTTGTTAGGGTTGCTCCACCTGCAACTGGAGCCGACATGGAGAAAAGTGGAAACATTCAGCTGGAGATTCCTGACTTCAGCAATTCTGTCCTGAGCCACCTCAACCAGCTGCGCATGCAGGGCCGGCTATGTGACATTGTAGTCAATGTGCAGGGCCAAGCATTCAGGGCACACAAAGTAGTACTGGCTGCCAGTTCACCTTACTTCCGGGACCACATGTCGCTCAACGAGATGAGTACGGTTTCCATCTCTGTCATCAAAAATCCCACTGTTTTTGAGCAACTCCTCTCTTTTTGCTACACGGGCCGGATATGCCTCCAGTTGGCTGATATCATAAGCTACCTGACTGCAGCTAGTTTCCTGCAGATGCAACATGTTATAGACAAGTGCACACAGATCTTGGAGGGCATTCATTTCAAAATTAACGTAGCCGGCGTTGAAGCAGAATTGAGCCAAACGAGGACAAAGCAGCATCAAGAACGGCCTCCAGAATCTCTGAATCGCTCTCTGAGTCCACACCACAGCACCCCGAAAGGAAGCCGCATGGGCCAGGTCAGCACTGTGCTGGACATTCGGGAA